GTCTATTGGCTTGACATTTTACCAACATGAACATATGACTCTATTAAGATGAAAAGAGTTCTAAAAAGGAACCTGCTGAAAGTGCCCAACATGTGTCGTGCTTTCCACAAGATGGGCAGCTTTTCCAAAGAAGGTATGTACTCCAGTTGCAATGACAATTGCTTCGAGTTCACCTTGTTTACATGTTGACCCAGAATATACTCCATCACCAGAATGCTTAGTTACTGGGAGTGACTCTCCTGTAAGGGCAGACTGAAAGGAAGAAACAAATAATAAAACAGAAAGTTCGGAAAGTCTGTCACAATAGAAGGCGAGAAATAGTAGAACCAGGTGATATAAGGATGCGTTAAACACTCATAATGGGCCACATATCCATTAATGTTCATCTTAGGTATGAGCTCCTCTTGAAAAGACAATAATGCCAATGTTTTCTAGACTACTTGTTTTATGGCATCAACATTGAAATTAATTTGAATTTAACATAACATGAAAGAACTTCTAAGGATGAGGAACCATGTTACTCTCCTACTGCTCACGGTCATTTTAATCTAAGAAATTAAGGATCGAGTAATATGGAAAAAGGATGCATGGATGGCAGAATCAAGGACACATAACTTCATTCATATATTTCCTGCTTATCCAATAGGAAAGTAACATTTAAGTAACAATTCCAGTTACAGATGCCAGTTATAACTAAATTTCGACTCTGCATTGTGATTGAATTTAAGGGTAGATTTATTATAAGACCTGAACATAGCAACCTTAAATGAAGTCCCAACCTCAGTTAGCTTGAACCCCTTTTCCTTTTGCTTGGTCTATTCCTAATTTCCTTATCATATTCAAATTTCAATACACTTGTATATAAATCACCATGTAGAAATGGCTCATAACCATAATAGTAGAATATGACTTAGCTACCTGATCAATTTTTAAAGGATCTCCTTCAAGCAAACGAGCATCGGCAGGAATTATATCTCCTAATTTGATACTAATAATGTCTCCAGGAACCAGCACAGAAGCATCTTCCTCACTCCATTTTCCATCTCGTAAAACCTGTTGAGATTTTATTCACTATCAACTTTACAGAAGGCAACAAAAAGAATCAAATGAAATAAAACCCTATGAACAGAACAGAAAGGAAACAGTAAGGAAATGGAGAAGGGAAATGCAGTTCATCTATAAAAATGAGATAACCTTGGCTTTTGGAGCCAGTCGTGCCATAAGGGCTGCAGCTGCATTTCCAGCATTATTTTCCTCTATAAAGCTTATTGTTGAATTGATAATAAGTAGTGCCAGGATGCCCACGAAGTCATAAACATCTACACCCTTTCCCTGAAAGAAAAATGTTTTCAAAAGTCAGTTAAGAAACCTAAGTTCTTGTCTCAATGGTAAGATGAACTCCTAGAGACGTACGCCTCCATGTGCAAGAGTTATGGACATTAGTGCAGCTGCTTCCATAACCCAAGACAAAGGGTTCCACATAAATCCCAGAAAGTTGAGTAGTTTACTTTCCTGCAAAGAAAAATCCTGTATTATAGAACAAGAAGGTGGAAGCTAACTGAAAGAGATTTCTGCCTAAGAAACAATTTAAAGAATTTAATTACAACAACAGACGTAACAGCACAAGCTGAAACAAGTTCTCCGAAACCTTTTTCTCTTCAAGCTTGTTGTAACCAAACACCTCCAACCGCTGTTGCACCTCAACAGTACTGAGACCCTCGGCCGTGCATTTCAAATTTTCAAAGACTTCTTCAACAGGGATGTTCTCCTGCCAGAATGTATAAGATAAAATAAATCTGACAGAATACTCAAAAGACTCTAATATGACAGGTACTAGGTACTACTTCACAGAGCGATCCTCTTGCACACTAGTTCCATATGAGCTTTATGATTAGCATAAGATTTTGAGGAATGCTAGTTTAACACCAAAATGTAAATAGATGAAGAACATGCACCAGATCAACAGCTTCCTTGCATATAGGCTCAAGGGCAACTGACGTGTCCATTTCGGCTCCACTGTCTTAGCCCTCACCGAGAAACGGAAAGATAGCCAATCTGCGAATTCAGAAAGTTGTCATATAAAAAGTTCGACGGATACAAACGTCATCATTTAACCAATAAATAAAAAATCTAATACAGGTTGGTGAAATATGATTCCTCCAACATCTTGAGGCCACAGCTTCTTGTATCAACTTCAAGAAGACCACATATTCCATTCACCTAGTTAATGAGGAAGTTGATGACATGTGAAGAAAGACAAATACAATTTGGAACTTATAGTTCCTGCTTTATGGTTTGGAAATACGAAAATCAGGCTTAGTTAAGTGGAGTTTCTTGTTTATTCAGTTTTTAAGCATTAGAAACAGTACTATCTGTCTGAGAAAATGAAACATAAATTTTGAATTTCAAATGGCAATGGCAACTAATCCCATTAGTTGTTACCTCACCAAATGAACAAGACTCGTCTCATCAGTGAGTGTTGGATATATTGCATTGCATGGGAATTAATCATATCTTTAGGTTTTATAATGTGTAAGATGATATTCAACACAATGATAACTAAAAACCCACAGAAAACATAATTCAAACAACTGATAGGCAACACAAAGTGGTCATCAGGGGATAAAGGGTTGGGCTTTGAAAATGCCAGTATGTACCAAATCCAACAGAAATCTCAAGCAATCAGCTTCCTTCACATGAACATTCTTCACCAAACACCAAGACCATTAAAACCCAGAAGCCAGAGAGGGTCCGTAGTGTTGTTGGGGAAACGGATCGAAAAACATACAAGAACTTGGGATATATATACAACCTGCCATGCAGCCCAATTAAGCCTCCGCCATATAAGACATACAAGTAGAAAGTATACGCCAGTCTTTGACAGATGAGAGAGAGAGAGAGAGAGAGAGAGAGAGAGAGAGAGAGAGGAACAAAGCAGCGGCCATTTGGAAGAAGACAAAGGCTGAGCTTCTGAAACAACGCCGCCAGCATATACAGCATAGCAGAAAGCTGTACTTTCCAAAGATACGAGAAACCGACGTCTGAAAGTGAATGGAAAGAATCTTGGTGTGGTTTGAAGTTTGCTCATATTGGAGCAAAGCAATATACTTGCGTGTTTTGGAAAGCCCTACAAAATGGCTTGAAAGGTCACAATCCTAATTGGTACTGTCGTCAAGTACTTGTACTTCTTTGGTTTCTTTTGGCAAAAAAACGTTGGACTCTTAACAGCAGTACTTTTGAAGTTCAAATGCTTCTGTCCAAAACTCTTTGTATTTTTCTATTTTTGAACTATTTCTATGTAATTATCTTTCAAATATTTGTAACACATTTATCGATCACATTGTTAACTAGTGTGGATCTCATCATACGTATATAAGTAGACGTCAGGTGCAAAGTAGTCAATATATGTGGTACAAATAGCATTATCTTTTATTCTTTATTGGATATCAAACAAATTGAGGAGCATCCTCTACTTTTTTGCTTTATTTTTTTGTTTCCTCCCAGGATATGTAGAATCCACTTGTATTAGAAAAGTGGTCAATAATGTGATCAATAAATATGGTCCAAATAGCAACACTCTATGATTAAAGCTACGTTTAAAGACTTCCGTTTAATACCCTTTTAAACAAAAAACGACGTAATTTTGAACACAAGCAAAATACTCCCAAAGGAATTTATACTCATGCACCCAGCTCAATATTTTCACCATACTCACTACAAGAATTTGATTCTTATCATCTCAATAAATAATTGAACTTCAAAAAATTAATCACGCTACTCGTTATTTAAAAATAAAAACAAAAGTCAGGATATATGGTTACGGCAGCAAATGTAATTTCTTCTCATTTGTTTACGGAGTATCCTAAGGGTCAATTGCTATCGTCGTACTAGGGCACTCTCTGTACCTTCTGTACGGTTGGCTTATTTCTTTTTCACCCCCAAAACAAAAAAAAAAAAAAAAAAAAAAAAAATAAAATTGGAAAAAATCGAAATAAATAATTAATCAAAAGGATTTTCTTGTACTTTATATAATTATAATGGCCCTAATAAAAGTCAACCGAATACGAATTTGACAATCAAGAACAAGATGTAATAGGTCCAAAGCATAGGACAGTTTTTGTAAAAAATTATGGTCCCTTGTCAAGAATGATCAATCATGCCGATGATATTTGATTTTATAAAAAAGGGGCATGCAAGGTCGCATTGATATCATGTTGATCTGGTTTAGGCTGTAGAAGCTTGCTGTAATGGCAACAAGAACCTACTCTTGGCCTTGAGGAAAACATCCAAAGGTTGAGCAATTTCTCAGCCATCCAAATATTATTGTTCAGTATTTTACAACAATCATGTGTTTGCTGGAAATTACCCTAAAACTGGGAAAACAACAAGTACTGAAAATAAAGTTAGACTTTTGATATCAACCCACAAAATAACAAAAACCAAGAAGAAGAAGAAGAAGAAATGAGAGAGATGTAAACAGATAAGAGGTGCACAATAACTTTGGAGGGGGGGTTTTTTTTTCTGCTGGGAGATTCATTTGTTTCTTTTGTCTTTCACAAATTGACTAGAAGTGTCATAGTAAATAATAAAATTCATCCACGTGACTTAGAACCGAGATATAATGATTAGGGCAATTATACGAACATCCGAAAATTGTCACGAACCGTTCTCGTGTATAATTGTATGGTACATCCAATGTATCGGTGCATTGTTTTATCAATAACTGAATTTTAATCTTTTAATCTTTTAATCCAAGAACTAAAAGTGCAATGCACTGGTATATTGGATGTATCATAAAAGGGACTCCACTTGTCAGTTGTCCAAAACAATTCTCGAGTGTTTAGAAACAATTCTTGGGTGTCTATTTAGGCCCAGTTTGGAATTGCTGTCATTTTAAAAAAAAATTGTTTCTGCTGTGCTTTGAAAATAATTAGCTGTAAAGTAAAGCAGCTCTATGTTTGGTAAACAATATTTTTAAAGTGATGTTAGTAGAAAAAGCAATGTCAAAACCGTTTGGTAAATTTTAATATAAAATTGTTGTAACTGTGAATAATGACTAAAATAGACATGGTGTTAAAAGTGTTATGTACTAATCATGTGGTGGTAGTGGTAGTGATGGAGTGGAGGTAGTGATGGTGATGAAGGTGGAGTTAGTGGTTGTGGTAGTGGTGGTGGTGGTAGTGGCAGCATGGTGGTGGTTGTGGTGTTGGTTGTGGAGGTGGTAGTGGATGTGGAGGTTTTGGAGGATGAGGTGGTGGAGGTGGAGGAGGTGGTGGTTGTGGTGGTGGTGGCGGAGGATGAGAAGGAGAAGGATGTGGTGGTGGTGGTGGTAGTGAATGTGGTGGTGCAAGTGGTGGAGTTGGATGTGGAAGTGGAGGTGGTGTCATTTTTTAAAATGAATGATGGTATTTTGGGAATTAAAAAAATTCATTAAAAGTTCATCTCTACTTCTTTTGAAAGCAGCTTTAAAAATAACACAGAGCCTGCTTTTAAAAGCTGCTGTCAAAAGGCCACTGCTTTTAAAATAATCGGGATATTTTATTTTTATCAAAACCTTAAACTGCTTAACTTTAAAGTGAAGCAGGTTTTTGACCAAAAAAGGCAATCCCAAACAGGGCCTTAATCACATATCCCAACAATTATATCAGATTGTTTTGAGGGAAGTGGTTGTAAAGATGGAATTTTGAACACTCTGGGCTCAAATTGATCTAAGGTGACCCAATGGGATATATTGTGGAGAGTGATGGAAGGGAGCTGAAAGCTCGGCCTAGCCCAAAAACTAAAGAAAAAAAAATGATGAGTTTTTTGTTGGATGATTATTTTATGTGCATTGAGTTCCAAACTAGCAAACCTCTGTTCATTTTTTTTTTTTAATATTAAAAAGTGGATAGTTTTTATTAGTTTAATAGGAAAAAATAATACGAAGGACAGGGAGCTATCTCAATAGCAATGTGGTAGATATGGGTAAAGACTTCCACAAATATCTTCTAAAAAGACTAATGGTGTGTTTGGATGAGGAAAATAAACTTGGGATTTTGGTAAAACTCATAATTTCTAAATTGATATGAACCAATTCCTGTGTCTAGATAAAAAAAAACATATAAATTTAGAAATTCCGCGTGGGAAAAAACATGAAATTTGGAGATCATAAATCTCAACTTTAAATTCTATCTAAAAGTCGTCATTTCTAAAATCTCAAGAGAGATTGAGTTTTTAAAGAAAATAACTTTACAAATAAAGGTTAAATTCCGTGTTTTAAATCTATCACCCAAACAAGAAACTTTACAAATTCTAGAATATTAATTTCCGTCATTTATGAAATCCTTTGTACTTTTAAATTTCCTCATCCAAACGCACTGTAAGAACACCTAGCAAACTCAACTAAGTTTCTAGAATTATGAGAGGAAAAAACATATAAAAATAATAGAGTTTATGGACTTTATTGACCAAAAAAACCAATACTAAAAATCTAAAACAATATTGACAAAAGGAAGAAAAAACTCCGCTAATCTTCCTCATAGACATGACATAGAGAACATCACCTAGTCACTTCATGGCCCCAATGCACCAATCAACATTAGATCTACCATGACAAGAAATAACACCTCAAAGAGCCAGCAAGATGAGGCACATCCAAAGTTGTCCCAGATTCATGGTAGAGACAAAGGAAGACCATATCGGCATAGATCCGCCAAAAGTTGAAGAACATTAAGGATAAGGGGAAAACCCCCCCCAGATCTAAAGCTTTCTCCTCTCTCTCTAGTCTGCTAGTTTTGGGTTTTTTTTTTTTTTTTTTTTTTTTTTTTTTTTTTTTTTTTTTTTTTTTTTATAAGATGCGAGATTTTATATACGTTTATTACTCAATTATTTGTTATTTTTTTAACTATTTCGTAGAAATTTTTCTAGATTAATTTCTCAATTCCTCACCTCCAAAGCCCAGCTTCCACTATGATCCAAATCCACTACTAAACTCTTGTGTACAACATGATTTAAAATACTTAGCTGTGACTAATTATTCACCCCTCAAGCCCATGCATGGTTATCTTATGGGCTACACAAAGATGTTTGTCAAACTATGCTTCAATTCCAAATGAAATGCCCCAAAATGATCTATGTTTCTATCTAATAATTTTATACAACAATTCATATTGTATTTCAACGTAGAACACAAACAAACAAACAAATAAAATCTTCAAAATTTCAATAATCCCAAATAAAAACTTTTTATGTAGGGTTCATTTCAATGGTTTGTCAAAAGAAGAAAAAAGCTTGTTTCAATCCCCAAAACCTCATTCATTGACTCTAATAGAAAGGCGTAATTTGAGTAAGCATTGTTGAATACGTAGGCAATCAAATGTTTTAATATTTATATACTCTCTTTTAAATTTAGACGGAACAAAAAAAAAATACTATATTTCAAACAGAAAATCCTTGTGGTGAAAGCAACCCCCCACCTTTAATTAAACTCAATAATTGAAACCCCTCTCTCGTCTCTCTCTCGTCACTCTCTGGTCTCTATCTCTTCCTCCTTCCTCTCTCTCTCTCTCTCCTATCTCTCTCCTTTTCTTTCGTTAATTTTAATTTAGAAATTTAGGGTTTCTGATTTTCTAAATTTTAATTTTTTTAGCTCTTAAAAATACTTTAAAGTTCAATACCAAACAAGTTTTTAGATCTTAAAATCATTATTTGAAAACTCATATTTTTAAAAAGAATCATAATTTTTAAATAGAATACCACACGGAACCTTATTTTATATATTCCGCATTGCGTATTCCGTATTGCTTTAAAAAATAAATAAATAAATAAATCGCCGCATCTATATCCATATGGTTCTTGCTTATCCCTTTGATTCTGCTGTCGGGATAAACACCTGGTTCATTGACAAGTTTGCATCTGAATTAATCTAGCATTTAATACAGAGATAATATCAGCAATGATTTCGAGGAATATATAATAATAATAATTGGAAAGTTTATGATCAACAACATCGGTCGCACGCAGTACGCACGAGGTAAGTTAAATTTCATCGGGAAGAAATATTTAAATAAAAAAATTTGGCGACAGCATTATAATGACAGTTACGTAGATCAGTTACTTCTTCTTTTCTAGAGTCTTTCATCTTGTATCAGTCAACTTCACGTGCTCTTTGACAATTTGCAACCACTCTCCATAATTGACAGGTCAGCTTAATGCATGGTCTTTTTTTAGTTTTTTTTGTTTTTATACGAAGCTTATGGAAAGGTTGCCCTGGTCAATTCATATAGCAAGAGTTTTTTTTAAGCTCAATAAATACTTTATTATTAAGGAAGATAATAGCATAATTTTACCTATTCCAGATAAGGTTAATTATAATCAAATTTTTACAAGGGTTTAAAAATATATATATATATAGAAAAAATAACTTTAAATGAAATTAAATTACGTAATTTTTTTTTCTTCTTTTTATTGGGTTTAATGGGGTAAAAAGCTTTAAAGATATTTGTTAAATCGCTACTCTTTGTCTATCTCTTGCAATTTTTCTTGCTTAGAATGTATTTGTTTATCCCTTTGTCGAGAACAATTATGATTACAACCAATAACCCATATAATTCTTGACATATGTGATATATATACACACTATTTTTTTGTATGTATTGTGAGTTCAAATTTTTGATTCTTTATAATTTGTAAGAGGCCCCCACACACATGAAATCCTGGCTTCGCCACTGTTTCTAAGTAAGGCGCCACATCATGTAGTATAAAATTATAGTATACAAATGTGATTAAAGCAACATTTTCCATAATGCAATTAAAACAAATCAAAATTACAATCCTTGCCATTATTATCTGCTCTCCAATTTTCATTTAAACTTAATGATTGCCGCGTTCTAAATCCACGCTTATATGGCACATGTCCTGTCTCCTCACCAAAAGCGACAAGCAACCCACCCACATTCAATGTGAAACGAAATTTGACCATCCTTATGTTCAATAAATCTAACCGAGCAGCAATCTCATCTTTATTTTTTCCAAGGATCTCCAACAACGTACCAATGATATTATCGCAAACATTCTTCTCAATCACCTACTACCATTCCACTTCCCAACCATTTCTTCTTCCCTACTACATGCAAATCAACGCTAAAAGTTTTAGGTATTGTATCTTCTAGATTTCAACAAAGACGTGTTAATAACAACTACTTTTGATTAGGGAATTTCAACAAACACATGCAAGGCACACTATATCATAGTTTTTGAGGTACAATTTTGATTTAAATTTTGATATAGGCGTGATATGGGCAGTGGCAGAGACACCTAAGGACCAGGGTGGGCCTAGCCCCCCTCCCATATATAAATATATATATATTAAATATTCATGTTTTTACTTATAGATGTATATATTATATGTTGCTTTCTGGAGAACCTCATCCCAATAAGATTGTTGGTCGACCCTAAATGTCATGGAGCTTTCTATATATTTTGTATAGTTACTTGCCCTTTTGGGAGTTTATGTTATGTTTCCCTCTTCATAAAGGTATTTTGCATTATAAAAATAAATAATAAATGAAAAAAGGACACCAAAAACCCCTAAAACACTGTTCACGACAGAAGTTACTATTAACTGAAGTTACTATTCACTGCAATTTAGGGTTTTCTTTCTTGAACTGTGTTTGTTTGGTTATTTTCTGAGCTAGATAGGTGTTTGTCTTTGTTCTGAGAACCAACAAATTTTTCATAACAAAACCAAATCTAAATACTCAAACCCTAAAGAAATAACTAAAAATTGCATCCTACCTAAATTACTTGATAAGTTTCTTCAACAAATAGAATCTATCCTGTAATTTGTTTATGATGGCACAAGATAACAAGTAATTTGTGTAAGCTATGAGTAATCTCTTGCCACAAAGGTGTGATACTTAATTAAGGAAGCTTGCATATGTTATTTATTAGTTTTGTGAATAAAGTTAAACGGAAAAACTGTTTTCTCTTAACAAATTGAGAATCGGTTTCTTGTAAAGTAATTATACTTTCATTTGCAAATCCTTACAACTTTGAACACTCCATCAATCAATTTCTCACAAATTGAAATATTTACTGGATCAAACTTCAAAATATGAACGTTTGATTTTTGAAGTTATTCTCGAAATGAATGAGATTGTTTATGATCTCACTCATGATTATATTTAATTCAAATTTAGTTATATATCCAATCTTAGACATAGTCTTATAAAGAAACCTTATACCATTTAAAAACTATAAACACACCCAAAAAAAACCCAAAAATCGACAGCTGTCAATTTTTTTTTAATTCAATAGCAATTTTTTAGTTTATTTGTGTGCGTAAAATACCTATATTGCCCGTGTACTATGGTTTTGAGAGAGAAAAATCAAATCTGCCCAAATCTGTCCAGATCTGCCAAAAAAACCCAAATCAGATTTATTTTCTCCTTTCTCGCTAGTGCTTTCTCGATGTTGGAGTAAAAGGAGCTTCCATTGAAGCTCAATCTCAGGTCCAACTATATTCTTCATCTCTCATTTACAATTTTCAATATTTCACTTTCGATTTCTTGTTCTAAAATCGTGCTTCTACTATTATTTTTTTCGGGATTGTTTGGAACCTTGAACAAACCTCAATCAGATGCTCTTAGCTCTACTCGTCATCTTCGAGCTCTACTCCTCTTTCACCACGTCGTTGTCATCATCATCGTCATCGTCATCTTTATTGTCGTCGTCGTCATCGTTTGGTTTGGACTTGAGATTTTTATCTTTTGCTTCAATTATGTGTTTCTCTTCAGATTTTAGTTGATTTTCGAAATGTATTTTAAGCTTTGATGAGAGATTTATCCTTTGTTACTATTTCAGTTATGGATATCATTTTTGTTTAACCATGTACTTTTATGACGGAGTATTAACAATGTACTTTTATTACATAATGGTATTAACAATCTGGGCTCAGCTTGTTTTGATTTGGTATGGTTTGTTCTTTCTTCTTTTCTTTAGTGGACATGTATTAGAAATAGCAATAAGACAAACATTAATCAACATGACAGTAAACTAGCAGTGTTATTACCTTATACTGGAATATTACTTGAGTAGTATGCATTAGAAATAGGATGTCATAGGAAATTAGCAGTGTTATTATTCTATACTGGAATATTACAAGGGTAGACATGCATTAGAAATAGGATGTCATAGGAAACTAGTAGTGTTATTACCCTAGAAATAAGATGTCATAGGAAACTAGTGGTGTTATTACCCTAGACTAGAACATTACATGGGGTAGACATGCATTAGAAATAGAATGTCATATGAAACTAATGGTGTCATTACCATAGACTGGAACATTACAGCTATTAATCAACATGACAATAAACTAGCAGTTTTATTACCATAGACTGGAACATTATAGCCATAATCAACATGACAGTAAACTAGCAATGTTATTACCCTAGACTGGAACATTACAAAATAGCAATGTTATTACCTTAAACTGGAACATTACATGAGTAGACATGTATTAGAAATAGGATGTCATAGGAAACTAGTAGTGTTATTACCTAGACTGGAACATTACATGGGTAGACATGCATTAGAAATAAGATGTCATAAGAAACTAGCAGTATTATTACCCTAGATTAGAACATTACAGCCATTAATCAACATGATAGTAAACTAGCAGTGTTATTACCCTAGACTAAAACATTACAGTCATTAATCAACATGACAATAAAGGTGTGAAACATTACAATTATTAATCAACATGACACGTTAATGAAGCTACGATTTTCAAGACATTTTGTCTGTAATGAATTGTTTGGGTCTTTTTTATAAAATTGGGCTAGGCTTGTTTTGGGTGCTATTTAAGTTCTTTTTGTTGGACTTCTTTTAAGTTGATCAATGGCAGTCACGTAATTTATAATAACTTCAACACCAATTTCTTATGTAGTAAATGAGTTTCGGGTAAGTTTCTAAAGTGCATTCCATGTGGGTTTTTTTAAATATAATTTCAGCCCATATTTTGGGTATATTAGTAAAGCTCCCTATATTTAATTCAAGCTAGCCATTTAGCTTATGTATCTTGTAGTACAACTCTTAGAGTTTAGGGAAAAGGAAAAGCATCTTGTGGTTAATAAAAGCCACTCGTGTCAACTAATCATGAATGAAATTCTAGTAAAGAATATAGTGAAGCTAATTAAGAAGCGGAACGAAGATGAGTTGGAGCGAAAATGGGTTAAGGCACAGCAACACCTTATGGAGAACCCATAAGGATATAGATGGCTACAAAGGACAGTTTCAGAAGTCTCAGGATCTCTGTAAAGCTCAGTGTATGCGCTTTGGGAGAGGACGAAACATCAATAAGCTACTTCGATACAAGAATCTCCTAGTGCAGTCTGCGAAACCTACGCCCAAACCTGAATCACCTGTTGATATTCTCGATACCATCACTAATAGGGAGATAGTGGTACTTGACATGTTCCCTGCTAGGGAGAACAACACTTTCATGGCAGCACGTTGTGACAAGGAGGATTAGATAGCTACTTGTTGTTTTTCATTAAATATTAATGGAGTAGTTGATTTTAAGTTGGATTCAGGATTTATTGTATCCAACAATGTCCTAATAAGACTATCACATATATTTTTCTCTATATGCATAACGTCAAGGTTATGCCTAATTTTCAACTTAAATCAATAGTCCAACTCAAACAAAATATTCTTCTTCGTTCAATTTAGGATGTTCACAAGGCAGGCATGGTATAAGCTAATCAAACTGATCAAGGATGTCGTCGCCTGAAAATTCTCTAGGTGGATATCGCATCTCCCAACGACCATTAAAGTCTTTAGTATTCTTGCGCCATAGATGATTCATCGATAAGTAGCAACATGCCCAATACAACAATAATTACTTCTCAACCTAGTGTATGATGCATCCTCATTACACACTGGACATGCCAACGTATCATGGGTACCCCAACGTATCATGCGTATTTGTCTTCACTTGGTTGAAGGATGTCTCAAGTTCAATTCATATGGATGACAAGAACAATATATATCAAATTCGATATTTAATTGTGGCCAGTTCATTATGGTGGTATAACTTTGTTGTGTTTATCTTCACCCTTTGAATAAATTATATAAACATCTCTTCTTTGTATAAAAAAAATTAATATGTCAATTCTTTGATATATATATATATAGAGATATATATATATATATATATATATAGAGAGAGAGAGAGAGAGAGAGAGAGAGAGAGAGAGAGAGAATTATAATTCATTTAGCACACATGTTAGAGTCCTTGAGGGATACATTCCCAAACCACACGATAACATTAAATATCATGTTCAACATATTGTTTTCTTACATCATGCATATATATACAGAGCAACAAACAAAATATAAGTCATTGGGATGAGAAACCAATTGTCTATGAAACAAGGAATGCATAATGACTTTGACTTGTGAGGCTAAGCTTCTAATTTATACTTTGAATTAAAAGATAAGCACTATATATTAATTAATTAAGAAGTTAATGCTTAAATTCTTCTTCTTCTTCACAACCTTGAATAATGGACTTAAACTATTCGCCTAAAATCAAGCTTCTGATATCTTCAGATTGTGCTTCATTTGCACTTTCCCAAATATTGGAATTGAAAATTCTCAGTTTTGATTGCAAATGTAACTAAACTATATATAGTTCCTTTTTATTGAGAGATCTTTCAAATAATTTTATTTGATAGACACTTTTTATGGTTCCCTACAAAAAAATTTCAACAATCCAAACCATCTATTTTTTAAGTCTACAATCATAAATCATTCTTGTAAAAAATTAGAGAAATCGAAAACTGTTTCGACATCCAATTGTGTCCTACAAAATTAATGAACACGGTGCTTTAAGAAAGTACTAAAACTTCAATAATTCAATTGAATTGTCAAATAATTTCGGATTCAAGTGATTTTTTGTAGAGGTGATCGTTGAATGAAAATGTACAAAATAGACGATTTGGATTAGTAAAATACAATACAGAATGAGCTCTACAAGAGTGTCCCTCAATGGAAGCGCTCTCTCTCTCTATATAAATATAAATAAAATTAAGATGCCACCAACCAAACTTTGAAATTTCAACTTGTGAAGTCAAGGGGCTTTGAAGTCGTGCACAACCTGTAATATAATAGAAACCCATCTCCCTAAATATGCCTCCATCGGATCATCATCGGTTGATTATATATAATACCATGTATATCTGTTTTTTTTTCCTCCCTTTTATTGAGAAAAATTCAAAACAATTATAGAATAAAAAGGTTTAGGCTGCATAAGCCATTGACATTTGTGTACCATCAACTCTTGAATTTTAAACGTCTTCAACTGTGGTAATTATGTGCATTGGTACTTGTTGGAGCAAGATGAAAGGGAATTATGTATGCCTTTGGTCATTGGGGAAGGCTTACCATTAGCATTCACCACACTCATTCTGTGATGTGGAGGAGTGGCGGTAGCGGTCTTGTTGTTGTCACGTATATTGTGCGGCAACAAAGTGCTTAAAAAGTTAGGTACTTTAAGCACTAAACTACTTTAAATTAATCTAATTTACAAGGAAGGGGATTCTCATTTGAGTGTAAAGATGGCAGACATTAAAGTACCTTCATTTTAGTATTACTAACTTAGGTAATCATGCATTTTGGCAAGTGCGGTTGTGATAGATTTCGTAAATTTGACACATAATTTCACGTTCTTAATCAGCTAAGTTACAAGTCTCTTGTGATTTCATTGGATATTTACAAAAAAGAAAAAAGAAAAAGAAAAATTGTGAAGAGTTTTCCATGTAGCTGTTGCAAGGCGCACGACACAATGACCCACCTCAACCCTAGCAGACAACACACTAGTTAACACTATATGCAAGTTGGAACACATCTCTTTATACCACGTCATTCATAGGTATCCATTTGAAGTAATTCGCAAAACCAGACAACACACAGATATGGATGGATGGATGGATGGATGAATTAGTCGTCGGTGAAAGACCCACTGGGACTTTGTTTGTACATGATTTTTCCTTCTTTTTCTGGTGACAAGTGGTGCTGGCAATAAATGCTACAGCTCCACGTAAGAGTTGCAGAACCACACAACACAACACCGACCTACCAATTATTATTCAACAGAGCGACTCCATGACCAAATCCCAAACTGCACTCCGTCAAATTAATCCAAAATATTCAGTATTAGTAAGAGTGAAGTTAGCAAATATATCTATAAATATGCTAAGTGGTCATCATCACTGTCTTCTTCTCTCTTCCGTCTTATAACTATTTTTTTGGCGGTCAAAGGTGAGTGCCAATATTCAAAATTTCAAAGGTTTCTGCGGTCAACCTCAAGCCCCACCCACGAGTTTAATTGTTTGATTGAATAGTCAGAATTTGATCTAATGTTTCAAACTTGGGAGGTAAAGTAAACCCCCCCTGCAGGTGTTGAATGCACAGTTGTGACGGTTTGGATGACACAGACAGTAGACCAAGAACAGCTATTAATTATGGATTGAATTTGCATGTATGACTTTCACTAGGTCAAAGATTACTAAGGGAAAAGGGAAATGCCAAATCATGTATTTCACAAAAGAGAAATACCAACTACAATCTCTTACGTACAAGTAACTATGAATCATTGATTGAAATGAGTAACATAATTGTATAATTTATTTATGTTAAATGTTATGAAATGCTAATTGTGGGAGCAAATATTTTCGTCTCCAATCATAGCACGTCACGTGGAAAAGAAGATTATCCCTTCAATTAATTAATCGAATCAATTTATTTGGCCAATTAATTAAGAGGGATAATATCTTAATTATAGGATATTATCTTTATTTAATAAGGTAATATCATTAATTCAGATATTATCCCAATAAGATGATATAGTCATTATCAAATTAGGAGATTTGGATCCCAATCAAATCCCTAATGGACTCAATCCCTACGAGTTTGGGTAGAGAATAAACTTCTTCCTAATAAGAGTTTTATTCTCTACGAAACCCTAGCCTCTGAGGCTCCTATAAATAGATGGCTTCATTCATTATTCAAGGTACATCTAAACCTACTCCTAAAACTTGACAAAAATACCCGAAACTCTATCCCTCTCCACTCTCCACTCTCCATATTTTCTCCACACGCACGGCTCCTGTGAGGATGTTTGCACAAACATTAATGTTTGGACTTGCAATTCTAGTTAGAGGTCACACTAACCACAACTAGTACCACAACTAGACATAAATTTCACAACTGAAAACCTAAAACCTAACATACAACTATTAATTACGAAATGGTCACCAATCAAAATTGCAAATGGTGACAAACCAACTTAAATGAGTTGGTAATAATAATGTGGATCCTTTTGTCATACAAAATCTCTGCTGTTTGAGCACATTCAAATTAGGGAATTCGAACTCATAATTTTTTTTATCCAACATTAAGAAGAGAAATATCACTAAACTAAGAGTTAGTTGGTATCTTAAATTTAGTTTTAGCGATCATCCGATTAACATATCTTTGAATCTCACTACTACTTTGACATGTGACTGCACTCGAAAGAAAACCTTACAAATTTTATTTTAAGCTTTTCAGAAATCACATGTTTTTGACTTTGGATGGCTAATTATTCAAACTAATAACAAATTGAAATCTGAACACAGAAGACAAAGAGACAATTTCAAGTCAATTGGGTAGCGGTCTGTATAGGCTGGTTATAATCTTGGTCAATACATCGAATGGAGACGAGCTAGCTAGAAAGATATTCCCAGTTATTAACTTATACGTATATCAGACACGTGCTCTTAATTTTATATATCGTCGAAGAATCAAATCAAAGCATACTTAAATGACGGCTTTTACGCAACCTCTCTCTCATTGTATGTGAAACCAATTATGGGGATATAATTACTTGATATCACACTTCATTTTTATCTCGACTCTAGAAGGGCGACTAATATTTCAGGAACGGTGACTCGCAACGTCTGTTATTTGTCAACTCCTCCTTAGTTGTTTATTTATTTTGTTATCGTACTCGTATTGAAGTGAGTCGAACCTAATACCGCTATATCAAAATTAGTTCGTAACACTATTTTTATCTTGACATTACCGATTGAAATGGAAATGATGTATATCTGAAAAAGACTCCATCTGAGGACAAATGAGTGTTGTACTTGGTTTGGACTTTGACATTGGCACGTACTTGCCGTGGACATTTTTTTAACTATCTTTCATGTGTAATCAGCAATATTTTGTAGCGTGATTCCCTCAACTGATCAAATATTCTAGAGTGTGTTATGTGTCGCATACTCTAATCAGTTTTTCGTTTGTTTTTTTGTTATCGAAGATAAACTTCACCAATTATACTTCAACAGTATCAGTAAAAGCATCAGCAAGACATCGAAAGTACCAATTCCGCTTTAGTTTTGCATTCTCTAACAAGTTAAGTTACCAACATAAATTTACAGGTATCAATAAGAAAATATTATACTCATAAAAATAAAATTTAGAAAATATTATTTCAGGTCCTTCCAGCTCTTCTACAAATATCAGAATTAAAATTAATGAAAACGTCAACTTGCTTCAGATGTTAAAACATCAATGCTAGATCGTTGACTTAAAAACACATGCTAGATTGTGTGAAAACAAATCCAAATTATTATTTCAAATCTTAATTATTTCTAATGAATAGAATATTGATGTATCATCTTCAACTGCATCATTTAATGACCGAGTTCAAAGAAACGTTTTAAATTATTTTTGTTTTATCTAAGTCAAAGTTCAAAAAGTTCCGAATGTTTGAAAAAACACATATAACAAAAGTCCTAACTAGAAAAGCAGATCGTAGTAAAATATATCACAAAGGTGTTTTTTGTTGACAGTGGAAAATGGTGTTTGCTTGAGTTCTTCAATGGAAATTATTATTTCTTTTAAGAAATTAAAAGAAAAAAAATTGTACTGCTCCTCTGTATAGAACTTGTCTAACTTTGACCCTAAATATGAAGCTGTCTATAACTTAGATAGAAGCAATCAACGATTCGAATTAAGATCTAGAAGATTAGAAGATTATCTCTACATACGAGACTTAGTTGATTTTGTGCTCGAACCTTCATTTGTAGATAACATTGTCATTTTTAAAACGCTCAATTGAGTTCATAATGATTTTATTATTATTTGCAAAATGTCATAATTGTATGTATTTTCACAAACTACATTGTCAAATTTCTCATCATAAATACATGAAAGTAACAAGTATCAAACCAATCGCCCAGAACAAAAAATTTTAATCAACCAAATCCTCTTTTCATTATCAGAAGGTCTCACGTTATATACGGGACTTTATATACTTATTTTTTGTTGTAATTTTTAATTTAAAGAAATAAAAAAAAAAACCAGCTTCTAATCTAATAATGTCGTCAATAAAAATTCGATGTTAAAAATCCTTCACAAGACCATAAGTTGTGGATAACCCATCGTTGGGTGAGGAGATAACGGCGACAACGGCGGAACGCTAAATATCCCCTTCACATCTTCCAATGACTCAGAGTCCCAAAACCCCGTCCAACTTGACGGCGTCAAGGGCATATCCCTTACGAACCCAACGGCCTCTGGCGCCTCCGTCAACCGCTCCTTCTTCACTGCCACCGCCTTCACTTCTTCTCTGTCCTCCTCACGACGTCGTTTTCTCTCGACGGCCGCGACCGGCTCGGCCTTGCCGGCTTCGAGCGGGAAGTTGAGGATGGCTTTGGAGCCGCGCAGCTTGAACGCCGCCCGGTCATAGGCCTTGGCGGCCTCGATCGCCGTGTCGAAGGTCCCGAGCCAGACCCGGGAGCCTCTCCGGTTCGGGTCCCGGATCTCCGCCGCATACTTGCCCCACGGTCTTTGGCGGACCCCGCGGTAGTGCTTCTTCTTCTCCTCATTCGAACTCGACTTCTGAACCGGCGCCTTCATGGCCGGGTCAGAGCTCGCGAAATGGATCCACTCGGTTTTATTCGGGAGGGAGACTGTGAGCGCGGGTTTCCGGGTCGGGTTGGCCGGTTTCGGAGGTGTCCTGTTCAAGAGCTGGGGCTTTTGTTCGAATTCAAAGAAATCATCACTGATTTGAGGCTTGGATTCAAATTCGAACGAATTTTGGGACCTCAAATCGGCGGACTTTGGGGTGGTGAGGTCGATGACTTGAGGTTTAGCTTCGAAATCGAGAAAATCGGTGGAATTAAACTCGAACTCGAAGATCTCATTGGAATTCAAGTAGTCGGAGATTTCGATCGAAGAATCAAAAGTGGACGAGGATTTGGAGCAAAGAGAGTCAGATTGAGATCTGGAAAGGTCCGAATTGGCCTCGGGGCTCCATTGATTTTGGGGGAAGCTGGAAGCAGAGTCGCTTAGCTCAGTGACGGAGCTCTTGGCTGCGGGCGAGAACTCACCGAGAAGATGGTTCTTGATGAGTTCGAGAGCCGAGACCTGATCTAAACCCGCCATGTCTGAGCTCAAAGCCATTGAAAACAAGCAATATTATCAAATTTTCTTGTTTTTACAGAAGAAATCTCTGAGAGAGAGAGAGAGAGAGAGAGGAGAGAGGGATTCTTGTTTTTGAATTTTGTTGATAGTGGAAGTTGGGAGTGAAATGGAAGTTGAGGAGGGGTTTCTATATATATAGAGAAGGGAAAAGAAGGAGAGGACTTCCAATGCTGAAGGTTCGATGAGAGAGAGACGAAGGATCCTTTTACTTTTTCTTCTAGTGCGGGCCCCGTTCTATCCATTACAACCTTCTGCGTAATGTTACGTAATAACTCTTTCACTTGATCTCCACCGTTGGATCATTAATCTCACTTTCATTCTTTCATTTCAAGTAATTGATTTGTTTTATTTCTAAGTAACTCCTCAAAATTAGTATTTCTTAGTGTATCAGATGATGAAGCATTGAACTCTTTTTCACTTTCTAGAAGTTTATTCTTATTCTTCCGTAAATAGCATTTCTCGTTGATTTGTTCTCTGAATACGACCTACTCTGATTCTGAACTACCTATTACTATACTTCTTTTTTGAGAACGGGTAAAATAGAAAGAAAAACTTTATTACACCAATTTTTAGACGCTAAGCAAATAAGAAATTGTCATATCAGTTGATGTCACTGGTATTATTGCTTTTCTTTTGTGTGAGCTCTTTCACATAATGAGAAATAGAAAGAAAAACTTATTACACTAAGTTTTGGATATTAACTAATGTTACAGTCTTTAAGCAAATAAGAAATTGTCACATCAATTGATGTCACTAGTATTATTGGTTTTCTTTTGTGTGAGCTCTTTCACACAACGAGAACTCATGTTGGGATTATGCAATCCATGTACCATGATACACACACACACATATATGTAATTCTAAGCTTTATCACTTTGACGTCTTCTACTCAATGGAAGCTAATTTTAAGGATTTTGGTTTGGTTTTAAGTAGTGGTTGATTTCCTGGATGCTTCACAAAAGTGCATCTTTTAGAGTTAAAATATAATCATCAACATTAATAAAATCGCTTAGTGGAATCATTACCAAAATCCAGACAAGGTCAAGGCAAAGGGGATAAAGACAAAGTTAATCAACATAGGATTTAGTCATCTCTGGCTCTAATCTTTCGTTAAGCTCTGCTGTTTAATTGGATGCCCTTAATATAATTTAAGATTCTAGAGACAAAAACAATTGACATTAACGTGCAAGCAAGTAAAAAGCCAACCTCCGGAGAATTTGCTCTCCCCTTGTTGTCTTTTTTTGGTTCCAGAAACAAGTTGGTTTCAAATTTTCTACTCGAGTTTCTCTTATTTTATTCATGTCTTGAATTATAATTCATCGCCTTATGCAAAGTTATCGACTTTATTTACCCTATAAATAATTTTTTATTTATGCAGGACGTGTGAACTAAATGACATTTCCCATGTTCTACTCTTTGAATTTTTGCATTGCAACGTCCGGAAATGGTTGTCGAATTTTATTTATTTATTAAAAAATTTTGAGCTGAGTATATCAAATTTCATTCTTTTACCTTTTTGGGTACGTTGTCCAAGAACAATGTACGTATACAAATTCTATTTTTTAATGCTTTTGGGAAGAAGTAGAAGTATCTGATTTTTCTTCATTTCATACGCGTACGCATTCTATTGCCACGCACATCATAAAATATGTTTGTTCTGCAAATGAGTATTAAAGTATCCATGTGATGTATTTGTAAGTTAAGCTAGTTGATCAGGACAGTGTGTCCGCCCTCTTACATATCCGATCTCAAATCTCGCTCTTTGTAAATTAAAGTAGTTAAATTTATAACATCATTTTGTCAAAATAAGGATCCATTTTGATAATGTTGTGAATTATTTTGTGTTTTGTCTTCTCTCTCTTGGTCACTAATATATATCTTTTCGTACAAACCCTTTTTTTCTATAGGAAATGAATTCTCTACTTGTCTCAGCATTGCTTGACCTGTATTATAAGCCATGTATTGGAAACCCAAACATGCAAGATATTCCTTCAACTTATAATTAATAAGAAGCTATGATTAAAAGCCAATCAAGCGATCTCAAGACAAACAAAGAAATCATTTTTTTTTCTTTTTTCAATTAAAATAGTTGAGTTAATTTTTTAGGGGGATTGCTCTGCCGACTAGTCTAGTTGATAAAGTCTATAACCTCCTAGGTATAGGATCGAGCCCCTTAATTTCTTTGTTAGAGTTAATGGACAATTGACAACATTGATTGGAAACATTCAGAAAATAAATGTGTTCAAATGCATTTTCAAGGTATTTGTAGGGGCACACTATTTGCAGAACCCAAACAAGCCGAACAAGGTTGTATTGGAATATAGAGTGTCTTCAGGTAGAAATAAGACAAAAAAATAATTCATAAATTTTCAATCTTGGTTTGACCTGACCCAATCTAAACCCTTCAGTACCAGCCTTAATGAGGTAGGGCCCAGTTAGGTCAATGGAAGAACCAAAAGAAAGAAGGATGGGAAAGAGTCAAGCAACCATTGTGTTGATAATTCTAAAGGTCTACAAGGCCCTATACAGCTCAACTAATCTGTATCTAATATATAATATTGAAGAATATAGTTTATAGACAAGAAAAGATTAAAATAACAATCATATAGTTAAGTAGTTAAATGGTTTCGGATTTAAGTGAATTTTGGCCAGAGATGATCTTGGAGAGAATATCTAAAAATTCGGGTCAGTGAAAAATAATGTGTAATAAGCTTACAAAGATGTCCCTCAAATAATCCCTCAATTAAAGCTCACTCTATATATTTAAGAACTAATATAGTATATTGACAAAGCACTGAGCAATTGAAGTGGGGGAGCTCTTACTAAGTCCCAGAGTTTGCCAAGTCTCATTCTTCTTTTATTTAAACAAAGAGATAAGAACAAACAAACAAGATAAACATAATTCATGCAAATCACGGAGGGCCACCAAATTTTTTTAGTCTGATATTGTTTTTAAATAATACTAGAATTTTTGTATGTTTGCTAATCTCCTTGTTGCATGGTTTTTGTATGTTTGCTCCACTGTTAAGTCTGTGTTAACCACCCCGACCCCTCTACACGAAATCATGCATGGTTTTCGCCGGATAAATTTAATGGGTTTCTGAGTGGACCAAGTTTTCAAGGCGCGTTTCGAATTAAAACAAGGGGAAGTTATTAAAACAAAGTTTTGAACACTTCATTGATTGAAAGAGTCACACTATCCGGCATTGATCATGATCAAGAAGATATAAGTCTCTCTGTTTGTTGGGAAAAACTCTTATGCTTATATGAAACCATGAAAAAGTCTTTAACCTTTTTTTTTATGCGCCTCAGAAACATGTATCAGATCATTATTTTGAAGACAGTATTGCTCATCTCTCTTAGAAATAATGTAATGCTTGAATTTTCATGCTAAAATAAAATTTTGCGAGCGGGATCTGTCAGTTCCGGTGATATGGTTTTATGAGCGTTTATGCATTAATCTTTAAATGACCACCAATAATTTAAACATCTTTATATGGAACAACATGTTCTGCAAAAGTTTTATGTACAGATGATGATAAATGCTTGCTTGTCTGGTGATTTGCATACAGTTTTACTTTCTGCTGAAGGTACAAAATGTTTTATGGATTGCACAGCTAATTTTTATCAGTGAAAACATGTTTAAAATTGGGATTAATTATCTACAAAATCTGTCTTATATCAGTTAGGCAAGACAGCAACTTGCAATCAATTGTTGAGAAATAATTGCCTTCAAGTTGCAAGAAGTGAGGGTCCCAAATTTAGTGACCAACCAACCTACTGTGGCTCCATTCGAGGCCACCACAATGGAAATTTCTTGATGATAGCCTACGTGCACTCGACGACAGCTTGTGTGTGTAGGCTGTTATGGTGATGTATTTGTTTAGAATTACAGCTTCTTCTTTTTTGTTTCCCATTACCAGCTTTAATTTATCCAGTCTTTTATTTCTGTGAGGATGAAGCAAAGAAAGACTTGTCCTACTCGTATTCCACAAGCAACACCAAATCCCAATATTTTATGTCAACCTAGTTATTGCATACTCTTTTAACTCTTGAATGAGTTAAAAATTTCGTCTTCCTTGATATTCAGTTGTTCACACTGTGAATGGATGAAGTGTTTACACTTGTTACGCACTGTCGGTAATATATTTAAAGCTCATATGACATCTGAGCTCATTCTTCCAGCTGCATGACAAGGGTCCTCTAGAAAACCAGCCCAATGAGGTCATTCTTACATATACCATGTTCTATCTATAACAATAACAACAATTGTTATCACCATCTGTTATAATCAGAGCTGCAAAAGCGTTTATAGGGTCAAGAATTCAGATGAAGTAATATATAAAACTCCATTTCGTGTACATCGCCTTCCAACTTTACAAATTGAGGCTTGCAGCTCAAGTAGTTAAGAGCAGTTATCCATGCATTCGAGGTCCTAAGTTAGATTCCCCCTTTCTCCAATATCGCTTATAGGTACATCTCTTTGATGCTAGTAAATGACTAAACTTTCCTGAATTTCTCAGAGAGAGGGGGTACCTAATTGAATTGGGTACAAAGAAAGTGCTAATTGTATTTAACCTAAATTTGGACTTGTTGATGCTCAAAGAAAATTAGAAAAGTTCAAGTGTATTGAAGCCCAATATAATATACGATCGTAAGAGTAAAATAAAGGGTATCAAGAGAGTAAAGCATAAGGTTTCGATTACATCATAAGAATTAAACCTCAAAAGTAGGCAACAATCGATGTCGTAAAGCAAGCTCTTTTGAGAACCATGCATGTATGAATTTAAGAAAGAGTAAACCCATGCCATACAAAGCAAAAGACCATGATCCATGAGATTTCACACCATGGTAAGGGTTAGTGATCCTACATGGCCAAGAAAGCCATAACATTTGAGAAATCATGGCCAAGAAAGCTCTTCAAGAAACTCTTAATTTCACCCATGCTCAAGCATAGCCAAAATTAAAATGTAACGTGG